TGCATTGCAAAAACAAATTCATGCATTAACACATCACCCACACTGCACACGTTAGGATAAAGTATATGCAGTATAGGTTTCCTATTCTGCAGGAAAAGGAGTCAAAGCTGCCATAAGAAAAAAAATATTTTGTATTATTGGTTATGTGCTAGGTAGTTTTGTTTTGTTTCGCTATGATATTACCTAATGTAATTTACTAAGTACTTGAGAATGAGCCATAGGTGAGAATCTGGCTTGGAAAATGAGATTCTTCTCTATGTTAAGGGGTAAAACAAAAGTGACACAGATATTGCAGAAATCTTCATTAGGGCTGTCTTTAAAATTACTAAAATTACCATACATCTGATTCCTTAAGTGTAAAAGAATCAGAACTTGAGTGACTTAATATGAGCTATAAAAGGACAGGAAAACAGAAACATTAGTTCTTCAACTAAGCGAAAATGGAAAATATACTACAGTACCACAGTTCATTAAATTTTAACTCTATATCAGCCAGGAAAATGAAAGGCATTTGAAATTCTAGTCTTGAGGAGATTTGATAATTCAGAATGGGATACAAGTAAGTATATATTTCTATAAACAAGCAACTAAGATCGCCTTTCTTTCCAGTATCAAATACATATGGATAACTCGCCCACTTGATGAATTAGAATGTTACCTGCATAATGTCTTTGTTTTAAAAATACAAATTCTGTTCAAAGAATGCATCCATGAACATGTTTCTTGGGCACAATTTACTCAAAGGCATTGTTTTCTTACAATGACAAAGAGAGGGGAAAGGGTACAGCCTAACTTTAAAACGCACACTTAAATTCATATATTAAAAGAAAAGATCAGTTAAAGACTTAAAAATGGGTTTAAAGTTATTCTGCAGATTTCATAGAAAGCTAAAATTCAAGACATCAACTTAGGTAAGATTAGGATCCAATCCCGAGGTTCAAACAACTATAGTGACAATTCAATAAAATCAGACAAATGTATTTGTGTGTATATAATATTTTACAGAATTCGATATCCAATTATGTTGTGATTACAAAACCGAAGGAACAAAAGCCCACGTAGCCTCCAAAAATTAGACACTGTAGAGAGGAGTGGCTGTTGCCTCCCTCCTGCGCTTGGACAGAGAAGAGAAAGCCAAGGAAACTGGTTCTTATTTAAGAAATGCAATAGTGGGAAAGTGGTCATAGCCTATTAAAGTCAGTGTCTTCTGTTCTCTCTATATATCCTTAAAATGTGCTCCTCCTACTTTTGCAACCCTTAGACAAGAAAAGGGCGCCCTTCTCCAGGGAAGCATAAGGGAGATGGAGATTTCTGGTAGGTAGCTGACAGAGATTATTCACCAGAAGGTAAAGGAACAGCCAGAACATAAAGAAAAAGCTGTGGTAAGCAATGTATGTATTTAGGCCAAAGACATTGTCTGTAATTCTAGTTGGTTTTCACCATTAAAGAAAATATTCAAATACTCTGAAGTAGGCTTTATAGCATTTCTTATGACGTCATAGAATTGGGGGACATTAACTTATTTAGAAGACACACAGTCAGACAGACAGACAGACCTGCCTTGACCTCCTCGCCCTCCTTTTCTACCCCCTCTTCTTAAACACGCCCAATGTCTTCATTAGCTTCTGTATTTGCCAAAGTAAAAGAAGAAGACAAGACCAGGAGTCTAGCTGTTAGTTTTAGAAGACAGCAAACAAACAAATCATTTGTAATGAAACAATGGCTGCTCATAAAAAGAAAAGTAAGTTACATATTGCATTTCTGACATGCCTTTGAAAACAAATCCCCAATGCATTATCACAGCTGGCAACAGAAACGTGACCCCCTAGAAGATTTGGAATATGTGGATAGATAAATCAGAGGGCACAATTTTTTGCCTCTATGATAGGTATATTTTTAGGAAAATATTATATAAATTTTCTTCTAGGAAGAAGAAATGACATTACAAACTCCCCTTTTTTGTTTTTTGTTTTTGTTTTGTTTGGTTTTTGAGAGGGTTTCTCTGTATAGCCCTAGCAGTCCTGGAAGTTGCTTTGCAGACGAGGATGACATAGAACTAACAAAGACCCACCTACCTCTGCCTCCTGAGTGCTGGGTTTAAAGGCGTGCGCCCCCAGCGCCAGGCCGGGATAAACTCCCTTTTCCCTTTTTTTTTTTTTTTTTTACAAAATGGAAATACATCAAAGTTAGGATTTAAAAAATAATAATGATAATGTCTTATAGTTGTTGAATACATTGCACTTTTATATCATTCTCATTTTGCACATTTTTGATTTTTGGCAAAGAGAGTTTGAAAAAAATATCAACCTCAATATCAAAATATGTATTTCAATTAATTTAGTTACTAGATAAAATAATTACTCAAAGCCATAGTTAAATTACAGTGTGCTTTTTTTTTAGTTGCTAAAGGTAGAATAAATATGTTTATACTAGAAATGCCATTAATGACAATATCTAACAACCATTTGGAAGAAGGTCAACTCTGGACTCAATCGATAGTCTATTTTGGACTCCTGCACCTTTAACTTTGGATATGCAGAAGAGGGAGTCACTACACCCTTTAAAACTGAAGGAGCTACAGGCTCATGGGGCTCTGAGCCTCAGTATTTAACTCATCTGAAGATGCTGTCATTCATCCATTCATCAGCCAGTTCCGTTAAGTGATACAAACTAAGCAAAACCTCGTCCACACTGCCAAGAACAGGGAAGTTTTGTGCCTCTTTCCTTTATGAAATAAAAAGCAGAAAATCATAATTAGAGACATTACTGGAGACTGCTAGTGATATTAGTGGTTTTAAAGTACTCTACCTGAAAACAAAACAAAACAAAACAAAACAAAAACCCAGCAGTGAGAGTGTTCACAGGAGCCCTTGACTCTTCAAACCTGCATTTCCCCTCAGCAGCCAGGGTGGTTTTCTCCCACAGCTAGCCCTGCACAGCTTGAGGCTATCTACACCTCAACAGACTTTTGCTACCAATGATGCAAAAACAGAAACTGTAAATTTGTGAGGGGACAAAAACTGCACACTACTCATGAAAAACCATTTAAAAAACACAAGCTTTTAGTCCTCTGGACACAGTCAAGCGCTACAGCAATGCCACGCAAGTCTCTCTATCTGACAGGAGAGGGGAGCACCAGCCCCAGCACCGCGGTGCTGTGGAGAATTATGGTCGGTGAGAAGCAGAAGGCACCACAGAAGTCGACAGTCAGTCAGTAGCAACTAACAGGAGCACGGCTTACATCAAAAGGTTCCACAAGAAAAAAAGCCACTTGCTGCTTGATGCAAGCCATGTATGAATTTGTTGTCAACGTCACAGGGATACGACTTTTCTACAAACATATAAGGAATGACAAGTTTTCGGTGGTAATCTATATACCACCTGAGGCATCACTGCACTCTTTGAAGACAGTGTTCCCGTTCTACAATGTGCTACAAATCATTCTACGTGCTGGAAGCTCAGAAGTGAAAAGAGCAGCAGCAATTTCCAAGTTCTAAAATAGCAGATTTTTATCATACTGGCAAATGTTTGACAGTCCACGTACTACGACTCAGTATTTTTTCTCGAGGTATAATGCAGTGTTTGTTAATAAAGGCACAAAAGTGTCATATTTACCCTTGATATACTCTAGGCTACAACAGGAAACAGGAGACACAAGCCACAGTCACTATCTAGCTCAACATCTTCTTTCGAAGACAGTTAACATAAATAAGAAAGTCATCATAACTACAAAATGAAATATAAAATGATAACTATCTCAGACTATGTATATGCCCTCAGTGGCATAAACACAACCTGCAACTGATATTCCTGATTAGTCTCAATCAAAACCCAGAATTCTGTTTAAAAAGTAAATTAAATATTTTGTAAGAACTAGTATTATTTAGTTATTTAAAAGAAGTTAAACTCTTTGCACTCTGGCTTGAATCAAGATTTAAATCCAAGGTGTCATTTCACGGAAAATAAAATTTGAGTACTTGGCTAGAAACTAGAAAACAAAACAATTTAACCATATATAAAGCCATATAAACGAAGGGATGTCAGTTGCAGTTGGGTTTATCTTTTGCTTGCCCAGGCCCCCCAGAGGCTTCCACACAAACAAACCCTCCTTCAAGTTGA